CCCTCCCCACCCTGCCCCACCCCACCCCCAACTCCCTCTGGGAAATCCTGCCATCCCCATCTCACAGCCTGGAGCCCTGAGGAAGCAAGAACAGGTAACCAACTGACTTATCCCTGTCCAGGCAGTTTTCAAAAGTAGCTACAGGCCTGATACCAGGCCCCCTACCCTCCATATTCTCAACTATTACAAAACTAATCCTCGGAGCCTGCAGGGAGTGTTCTCCCGGACCCTCAGGTACAGAACATAAGCCGCAGGGTTTGGGGCACCAACCTCACTGATCAATAAACCTCTGTTCTTGCTGTCTTGATGTCCTACTGTTTAGTCTTCACTCCCTGCTCTGATGCCTTTCTTACATTTAGTGCTGAAACCCAGGAAGAGCTTCTCAGTGGGTCCACACACATGCACCCTTTCTTGACCAGTCATCTTTCTTCTGATTTTATGTGTCAACTTGACACAAGCTGGAGTTATCAACAGGGAAAGAAGCCTTTCTTGAGGAAATGCCTCCATGAGATCCAGCTGTAAGGCTTTCTCTCAATTAGTGATCAAGGGGAAAGGGCCCATTGTGGGTGGTGCCATCCCTGGGCTGGTGGTCCTGGGTTCTATATGAAAACAAGCTGAGCAAGCCAGGGGAGGCAAGCCAGTAAGTAACATCCCCCCATGGCCTGTGCATCAGCTCCTGCTTCCTGACCTGTTTGAGTTCTAGTCCTGACTTCCTTTGGTGATGAACAGCAGTGTGGAAGTGTAAGCTGAGTAAACCCTTTCCTCCCCAACCTGCTTTTTGGTCATGTTTTGTGCAGGAATAGAAACCCTGACTAAGACACTCACTATGACCCAGAGACCTCACCCATGGTTTCTAACAATAGCTCTGTGAGTGGAGGAGTTTCATGTTAACTCTTCATTGGCAGCAAGGGTATACTCACTCACTCACTCACTCACTCACTCACTCACTCACTCAACTTGGTTAACTTCTAAACCAACCTCTTCCACACAAGAGGGCCATCCATCACTGCCATTTCTGGAGCCCACAGACAACACTGGCCATAGGTAAAGGTCACATAGACACCCGCTGGTGCCCTGGGACTTCAATTTTGTTTCAGACCCCAGACACCAGTGGTCTTTGGTTCTTCTGATAGTTCCCTCCAGGAAGCCTTTTGGGAATTTGGTTCTGGTAACATTTCCAAACCGACAGACACTTCATGTAGAAATACCGGCCCCAGCCCATTTAGACCTATAACTTGGGCAACAGCCCCTCTGTTTTTTTTTTTTTTTTTTTTCTTTAAAAAAAGGAGCTCCAGTTGGATCTCCATCCAGACTCAATATGCTCATGACAGCCAAAATCACTGTCCTAAATTTGGTGTGTTGGAACCTGCCACCTTGCCAGAGCTCCTACAATGAAACAGGAATGAGTTCAAAGCTCTCACACTCCATCTCTATTCTGGTCCTTTCTTTGCTTCTCCATTTCTGCTTATCTAGTTTTATTAGCTTGAACTTCTTAATTCCCACACTCTCTCTCCGGTTTTGACCTGTTTCATGAGCCTCCCCTCCCCTACCAAGCTTTTCTTCCCCTCTGCCTCTCTACACACACCTTCTCTTCCCTCTGCCCTTGTCTCCAGGGCCTCCTTACCACACACACCCTCTTCCTCTCCCTGAAACTTTCCTCCTCTATGCCCCAGGGACAAATGGCCGACCTATAGATCTCTTCTTTGGCTCTAAGGCCCAACTGAGATCAAAGACCTCACTCTTCCTGGGGACCCTAAGTCTTGCCCAGAACAAAAAGGCAGTATGGTCCTTATGGTTGCTGATGGTCATTAACAACTGTCCTTGGTGTGCCACAATGAAGCGTCATCTATGGTGCCAGACAGGGGCTGCTAAGAGCATCAGGAGCAGAGGACTCCTAAGTATCTGGCAAATTGCCCTGTGCTGTTGGAGTTCACCCTGCAGGTGTCAGGAGATGGGGTTTGGCCTTCCCATTTCAGACTTAAACATGTTTGTCTTGCAATGTCCTCCAAACCCTGTCCTGAGCCAG